TTTCAGTGCCCCACAATCACTAAAAACAAAAAAGCCAACAAAAATATGAAACCTACTAACACATAAGAAATAATTTCATTCACTTGTGGAACTACTATGTTAACTTCCTGTGATGCTTTTAAATGCTATGATAATTACTGGAATAACTGAAGAATTTGCCACATTGCTTACATACGTAGGATCTTCCCCCAGTGCACTTCTTCTTTGACAATGACTGTGACTGATGAAAGCTTTCCTTCACTGCTTTTTTTTATTTTAAAGAGAGTAGTAAATGAGAAACCAACAAAAAAAATACAACAGAAGCAGCATACTAGTGTCACGAACATAAACAAATCAAAGCAAGAACATTCAAAGTGATACAGGGTCTCAAGACAAAATAATAGGAATCAACAGTGGTTGTTACACCACATATCACTATCCTCAACTACATTGCTCAGATTACCAGATGTAAGAATGAAAGATTGCTCAAACCATTAAAGAGAATAAGAAAATAATTCTTCGATAAAACATTAGAGATAATACAGAGTTTCACTAGACAAGATGGTAGGAGTTCACCATTGTAATTCCATTGCATATTGTTACCTTCAAATCAGTTGCTCAGACCACCAGACCCAAGCCTTCAGACATGTAAGCATCGTATTGTCTCCGTGGTGTAGGAACCTTCATTGCTGTCTTACATAGCACAGGGTTTCTACAGTGTGACCCCCTTTATCCCTATACAATGAACTGTACTTAGCCAAGCCTTCTCCACATTACTTACATACAACTGGTTTTTCTCCAATGTGACTCTTTTTATGTCTATAAAATGAACTCTTACTAGTGAAGCCTTCCCCACATTGCTTACATTCATAGGGTATTTCTCGAGTGTGATAACTTTCATGTCTATGAAATAATCTCTTATTGGTGAAGCCTTCCCCACATAGGCTACATATATATGGTTTCTCGATACTGTGACTCTTTTTATGTCTATAAAATGAACTGTGATTAGCAAAGGCTTCCCCACATTGCTTACATACATAGGGCTTCTCTCCAGTGTGACTTCTTTCATGTGCTTGACAATTACTGCGAGTGGTAAAAGCTTTCTGACACAGCTTACATACATAGGGTTTTTCTCCAGTGTGAGACATTTCATGTGTTCGACAACTTTTGCGTAGCCTAAAAGCTTTCCCACACTGCTTACATACATATGGTTTTTCTCCAGTGTGAATGGTTTGATGCATACAAAATGAACTGTTGGAAACAAATACTTTCCCACATTGCTTACATACATAGGGTTTCTCTATGGTGTGACTCTGTTTATGTATATAAAATGAACTGTTACTAGTGAAGGCTTGCCCACATTGCTTACATACATAGGGCTTCTCTCCAGTGTGAATTACTTCATGTGCTTGACAGTTATGGCGTTGCCTGAAAGCTTTCCCACAATGCTTACATACATAGGGTTTTTCTCCACTGTGAGTACTTTCATGTGTTTGACAATTACTGCGATGTGTGAAAGCTTTCCCACACTGCTTACACACGTAGGGTTTCTCTCCGGTGTGAATTCGTTCATGTGCCTGGCAACTGCTGTGGCTGGTGAAAGCTTTCCCACACTGCTTGCATACAAAAGGTTTCTCTTGGGTGTGACTTCTTTTATGGATACAAAATGATTTGTTACATTTGAATGCTTTCCCACACTGCTTACATTCTAAGGATTTCTTTTCAGTGTGAGTTTTTTCATGTGCCTGGCAATTACTGCGTCTGTTAAAAGCTTTTCCACACTGCTTACATGCATGAGGTTTCTCTCCAGTGTGACTTATCTTATGTCTACACAGTGAGCCGCTATCGGCAAATGCTTTCCCACACTGCTTACATACATAGGGTTTCTGTCCAGTGTGCGTTCTTCTGTGTCTGAATAATGAACTATAATGAAGAAATGTTTTCCCACATTGTTTACATACATATGTTTTCCCTACTTTGTGAGTTCTTTCATGCCTACAAAATGAAGAATTATTAGTGAAGGCTCTCCCACAGTGTTTACAAACATGAGGCTTCTCTGATATGTGAGCTCTCTCACGTGTTTGAATATTGTGGTGAGAATGAAAAGCTTTTCCTCTTTGTGTACACACAGAGACATTTGCTCCACTGTGTTTTTTTTCGCTGGGCGTACCAAAGTCTTCAGCATTTTGTTTACATGCAAAGGCCTTCTCTCCAATGTGAATTCCTCCAGTGCAATCAGAGTCAGATTTTCTACAGTGCTTACCTGCACAGTGTTTCTCTCCAGGGTTTGTTCTTGCATTCTCCTGAAAGGACCGGAAATCACTGCAGGTTTCCCCACATTCATTAATATTAGACAGCGTCTCTTCAGATCTCTGATACTCATATAATTTGCATGCACTGTGAGCTCTGATGGGCACAATTAGTGACGAATGACCAATCAGGGGAATTCTACAAGCAGGGCTTTGAGCTGACTGTACACCAAGTACTTTCAAATTCACTTTAGGATCTTGACTCCAAAAACACATTTCTCCAGGTTGACACCATAATTTATATTGATAGCATTTCACTATGTCTTCACTTCTGTAAAAGAAAAAATAACAATACAATAAATCACATTGAGAGGGCTGGGGATTTAGCTCAGCAGCACAGCGCCTGCCTGGCAAGCGCGAGGTCGTGAGTTTGATTCCCGGTACCAGGGGAAAAGAAAAATCCAAAAAAACAGAGCAAAACAAATAAATCACATGGAAAAAACTGTCTTCTTACTAATAATTACCAGGAGGTATTTCACCTAGTGTGATGTTACTTAACCATATTTGACCATGGATTTAATGTACACTGTGGAAGACGGCTTGAAAAAACTTTTATTGAAAGAATAGTATTCATTTGGGAGCTTATAACTCACATGTTTGCAATACATAATATTTACTTTCATTTTGGGGAATTGATAAATGCTGATTATTTTTGATACCATTTTGTCCATGAAACTACTCCCTTCCCTTCCCTTCCACTGAATCTCTTCCCCCTCTGTGAAAAGTCTGCCTCTTTATTTTACCATCATCTCTCATTTTACTTCTTAATTCTGATTTTGAGTTTCTCATACAAACTATACCATGTGACATGGAGCTGTGTCTCACTTACTTTCACTTAACACTATGAACTCAAGATTAAGCCACTTCTTGGATAAATGATATCATTTCATTCTCCACTGAGTACAATACCATTATGTATACACATCACATTATTTTCAGATCTGGAGGTTTAATGCAAGGCCATAGCACTGAGTTATATCCTCTGCCTTTTATTTTGTATTTTGAGACAGTCTCATCAGTCATGAAATTGCACAAGCTGAGCATGAGAGTGTGATTTTCCTGCCTCAACTTCCCACAGTGCTAGGATCTCAAACAGGTACCACCATGTCTGGACAGTATCATCTATTCTATCCACTCATCTGTGGGTAGACATCAGGTTGTTTCCAAAGCACAGCTATGGTGAGTTGTGCTGTTATAAACATGGATATGCACTTATCACTCTAATATGATTACTTTAACTTTTGGCAGAATATACCCAGGAGTTCAGCTGCATGAAATGAAAGTACTATTTGTACTTTTCTAAGAATCTTCATAGACATTTCCAAGGATGTTGTACTATGTAAGAATCTATTCAACAATATAGGAAGGTGCCTACTTGTAATTTTGGAAGAAGAATGCACTGAATGTTATGGAAGATTACTGGAAAACAGCTATTACCAAAACAGTGACATTCATCTCAACTTTGAATACTTTCATAATGTTAACAATTCTGCAACTACTGAATGTGCTTACTATATATAAATAATGATAGCATTTTTTACATAACTTGATTGATATCAAAGTGGGTTTTAGAAAATACATGGATACTTAATTATATACCCGTAACTCAGGCCAAAGCCTAAACACAAAATCTGTTGCATGTAAACCTATAGCCAATGCCTAAAGGTAATTTCACAGAACATTTTCATAACCCTGAATGTGGAACAAAGTTTGTTTATTCTGATGCATTCGGTAATGTCACAAATTTCCAATACTAGAATGTTTTAGATATTCAATTGTCACATTATAGATATTCAAAATGTATGAGTTTTAGGAAAGTTATGGAAATAAGTCAATTTTGAACTTGGCCTCATTTGTCCATCACTTAACATGGCTTTAAAATCTGTGCTCCATCCCTGACTCCTGAGGAACTTTACTTTTGATTGTGAGTGCAAATTACCTTAGATTTCTCTTCCAACATTTGTACTCATCTTCAGTTTGCTGATTATTATAGTATTGTCCTAAGGTGTAGAAACAGAAATGTATTGATAAATTACTACATTACATAAAAATTAACATATTTTATTTACATTCAAAGTGTAATGTGACCACGCTTAAAATACTCTTGAAAATGTTTTCACATTCCAATGCTCACACTGGTCAGCAAGAAACAATGCTCCCTAATTATATAAATGAGAAAATGATACGTTACCTATAGCAGCCATGTTCCTAAATGTTTCTGACATCACACCTCTGTAGAGCTTCTTTTGGGATGGATTCAGCAAAGCCCACTCCTCCAAAGAGAAGTTCACAGCCACATCCTCAATGGTCACTGCCTCCTAAATCATCACACATATATTTGCAGGAAGAAGATTGAAACTCACAGCATAGACTATCTCAACTCCATTCATGAAAAGTTGAAATGAGACTGAACTTTTAAATATTTACTGCATGTTTTGTTCATCAAACACGTTCTCCAACTATATGCAGACCTCATACAGAAAGTCTGATGTTGGATTGGAATCCACTGGTAAAGCCACAGCAGAATGGGAACACAGGTTTTCCTGCTGATTAGACAGTTTTATTTGTACACTGTCTCTAGAGCTTGGCTCATAGAGTCTATAAAATCAGCATCTAACTAAAAAACTGGGGTAGACAACTATCTAATGAACTGCTCAGACAGACCATAAAAAATATCACTTTTGTAAATTTATTTAAGGGATTGATTCCTTCCTTCTCTGGTTATACTTAGTATTTTGAAACTTGATCTTGGTTTCATAGACAAAACCTTAACTGAACACTAAGTATAATTCATGAATAATAATTTAAAATGTTAACAACTGAATTAAATTAAGGAGGCCATATTATCTTATACCTCAATGATACCAAATGGTCACACATCACAGAGATAAAAAATTCTAGAGTGGTATAAGGGAGACGTGGGAATGGATACAATCAAATCATATATGTATTGAACACCAATATTTTGCAAAATTAATAAGCACTAATAATAAAAGCAAAATTGGAAAAAAATTTTGGCCACTTCCAAATCACATCTTTGATTTGTCAAAAGAATTATAGCTGTTTGGTATAACAAATTTTAATAATAATAACTAGTAAACAAGAAGATACAGCTTGACTAGTATATAAGAAAGAGATTTAAAAATATACTATTGGGGGACTGTACTGTACTAGTAGAGTGAATGACAAATAGATCACAAGAAAGGCAGACAATCTTCAGTGGGCTTACATGGTAGCCTATTGATTCACGGTAGCACATTAATTCAGGGTAGACCTGTAATTAGACAAAGCGGCAGAAATCACAATATGTTTAATACAACAGCAGGGAGAAACAGGTACATACTTTGAAACATAAAATTTATTCTCCATATTCCATGTATGACAATTAAGTTACATCTTGAAATGGGAAATATATATTTGAATACTTCAGATTTCATAGTCAAATATTTTCTGGTTGTGAAAAAGTGTTTCCTTGGTGTAAAATCTAAAAGCCATCAAAATTAGAGAGAGAAATTGAAATCTTTGGGATGTAACCATGGGATGTAAAAGGTACAGTCAAGAAAAATATTTGCAATGTTTATAATAAAAATAATTTGGGTAGAGAGCATAAAATCAATAAGCATGTAGTAAAAATGAACAAAGCCTATATAACTCAAGAAAAAACACCAAATATAAAACAAGATCTATGAATGTGGTTGAGGAAATAGCCAAAAGAAGTGGAACTATGGAGGGATATACTAGTAAATAGATGTATGCAAGAATGGTAGATCAAATGATAAGCTCCACTTTCATTTCCTCTACTTTGAAGTATACCAAAATCTACAGATCAGTGACTTCATTCCAACTTCCCGAAAATACATCGTACTGTTGTTTCTGGAGACAGATGTGATTCTTTGCACATCAGTTAAAAGTAAACTTGACAATAACTTCAACCATGTAACCACTACAATGAATGAGAAACCACTTTGCTCCTGAATCAAACATGAGCACATGTGAAGCATAAGACACAAGATATCACCCATAATGTTTTTCTATGCAATTTCTCTAGTAGCCACTTATTGAATACTGCAAAGGGGTAAAATTAAAAGAATACTGCCAAGTGACACTTACACATAGTAGAAATAAGACAGTGGTCACCTACAGGAAAGACAAGGGTAAGTCAAACAGACTTTTCCCTGGATACTCATGAACACTGTCCAAGGCCCAGTTATTAAACTTTCTGGGGTCTCCCAGAATATTTATACTATTATTGTTAAATCTCAAGACTTTTTGATAATAAAATTTATTGTAAAATAGTTAAACACCAAATTACCATGAGGAAAGAAGTAGTTTATTTATACATGTATGCCTACACTCTACAGCCATACCACCCTGAACATACCCGATCTCATCTGACCTCGGAAGCTAGCAGGATCGGGGCTGGTTAGTACTTGGATGGGATGTCATAATCAACAACAGAAAATGGAATATATAAAATGCCCGATTAAATAGGGAGACCAGGCATGGTAGCATATGCCTGTAATCTTACCACTCAGGAGGCTGAGGCAAGAGGACCACTGTGAGTTTGAGGCCAGCCTGGCTACAAAATCAGTTCAAGGTGAGTCTGAACTGCACAGTGACATCCTCTCTCAAAAAGACAGAAAAAAATTAAAAAGTTAAATAAAAAAAACTAGAAAGGTTAAATAAAATAACCAGAACTAAACCAAACAGAAGTTAATAAGAAATAGCACATCTTCCTTATTTATGTTATTTGCATGAACAATTAAAATGTGAAACAACACCCAACTTCTGTTAACTATGAAAAACTCCATTTTACCTAAAGGAGGGATGGATACTATATTTTAAAAATTTAGAATTTTATTTGGGCAAGATATTTATTAAACACTATTGTGAAACAGTTAAAAATATTTACTCCAGAAAATTAACACAGCATTCAATCTGAAGTGTTCTCACTGCAAAAAACAAATGTTTTCTGAAATAATCTGTCTAATCAATTATAAATTTTTCAAAGCTTCAGACATTAAATTATAAATGTATTCAATAAAAATTAGAGATTGAAGATGGATCCAACATGGCTGAATGGAGGAGTCACATCTGTGAAGTTCCAAGAAGATCCACTAAAAACATAGATAACTAAGAAGAGGAGGGACACGCACACTGATACAAAAGGTAATCTCAAAGAAGAGACTTACAGATCGAACAAAACAGATACATTATAGTTAGTTGGAACCAGCCCAAAGGGGATGGCCTACAGGGCCTCCACCCTCACACTCCATGGGTACAGCTACTTTGAGAACTTCCTAAACAGCTGGTGGAACCCACAGAGTATGGCAGAATCTAGACTCACAGGATAAACTTGTGGTTATATGAGCCCCTTCCTTCCCACTGCCTCCCCTCCAAACCCTGAGCAGGAAGCATTTTCACCAACACACAGCACAGGTCAATGATCAGTATCAGGAGAGGCTCACTTACTACCTGCCCAATCTCAATCTGAGAAGATAAACAACACTGCTTGTGCAAAGAGTAATTAATATTGGATCACAGGCACATGTGAATCACTGTCAGGACTCTGAAGTTTGTCCCACACCAACTAGGACATTCATCTGGCACACAGAGCTAATACTGGTCTGGTCTGAGTCTATACTTAGCACCTGGGCTCACCTGAATCTACACCAGCTCTCACACGTCTCTGCCTGGTACACTTGAACTGTGGCAGTGTATGTTCACTACCAGGCACACTGCCCCCTTCTGGGCACAGCAGAGTCTCCACCCTGAATTTTGCCAGAGTCCTAGCCAGTCCTGCCCGGCACAATAGGCCAGTCCCCTGTCTAGTTAGCAATAAGGATTAAGGGTCTGCCTGTTTTGCTTGGTGCTCTGGATACTTGTTGGACATCTAGCAACCAGAACCCTCACTACACCTGCTGGAATCTCCCCAAGTCAGTCCTGGGAGCACCTGTATCTCATCTGGGTGCCCTGAAGTGACCCAAGCCTCCATTTGGTGTCTTGAGCTGGTCCTACTGACACTGGAATATACATCAGGTACCCAACATTAGCCTGCAACCAGCAGGAACCCAGGAGGCTCAGAATTCAATCAATGCTCCACACCTTTCCTAGGCTGCTGTGACACCTTGGACAGTTTCTACAAACAGTGGTTGACAGGCAGGGAACCCACTGAGCTGAGAAATCTCACAGAAACCAAGAGACTATCAAGAGAGACCAAGGAGAATGTGACATGTAAGATTAAAGACTGCAGGCTCAGGAAGAAAACATTCTTCTGGAAATATGCAGTAATTTTTTTTTTTTTTGCTTTGTTCTCTTCTTCATTTCACCAAATTGCTTTTTTTGCTCCTCTATTGCTATTATTATTATTAATTATTACTATTATTTACTATTAGTGGAGTTTAGAGTTGTATCATCAATTTTCTTATTCCCTCTTTTCAAAACATAACGTTATTTTTTGAATAGGTCCTCCTTTTTATCCTGTCTCTTTTCTTTCCTTGCTTTCCTTGCTATCTATCAGTATGCTGAGTATGTTTTCTTACTCTCATTTCCTCTAGTTTATTCTCCATTGCGTTTTATTAACCCTTATCTTCATTGAGTTGTTACTGTTACCTAATACTACTAATTTACCTTTACTCTTAATAGGTCCTTTTACATCGATCTTACCACCTTCCTTCCATCTTCCACTGTTTAATTTGTTTATGATCTATTCCTTTTTTCTCCATGCTCCCATAGTCACACCTTTACCCTTATGAATCTGTAGGTCATTAACAATATCTTACTACAGCTGAATACTATTCTATTTGAAAGGAAGTGAAACAATTACTCTTTTGAGTAGATATAGTATATAAATACCCTTTTTGTCTTAGTTTGTTCTATACCTATAGATCTTGGTCCTACAGTAACAGGTGGTTTACTGAGCTGGGTGTGGTGGTGCATGCCTATAATCCCAGCACTTGGGAGGCTGGGGCAGAAGAATCGTTGCAAGTTCAAGACCAGCCTGGACTACAAAGTGAGCTCAAGGCCAGCCTGAACTTCATAGTGAGACACTGTCTCAAAAATACCCCCCCCCAAAAAAGGTGGCATACTGTTATTAGAGTTGACCATTAAGGAGTTTGTGCTTGATACTTTTATCATTGATTGTAATAGTTTAAACAAGGGGATACAGATATTGTGATCAAATGGTGTTCTGTGCATGCAAATATCCAGATCGTCTGCGGGGGGGGGGGGGTGTCATAAACATTCCTACACTTTGGTACCACAAAGAACTGGGTACCAGACCTCTCTTCCCTAACAAATGAAGAAGACAGACCAAAAGGCTAGCAGCTAGCCAAGCCCTGAGGATAGCTCTAAAAAGTTGATGCTGTTACAACCAGAATTATCTCTGTAAAACATAGAGACAGAAACAAATCACTTAAAGACTTCACAAAGAAGCAACATCTTACAAAAAAAAAAAAATCTTCATATACATCACAAGCTCTCTTCACTCCAGTAAACCTCAACCTGTAGTAACCCCCCAAAAATGAGGGGAAGAAATGAGAGGGGTTATATATGAAAAAATTATATTCCACAGATACACATACACACAGAAACATGAGGTGCCACAGCAACAGAAGACCCCTGAGGTCTTCCAACTCTCCCAAGGCCAAGCAAAAGGTCACGAAGAAAGAGGATAGCATACACCATCTAGCACAGTTCTATAGAAAGTCTATAGAGGGATGAAGAAATTAGATGAATTCGAAGAAAAAATGAACCAAAAGTTCACAGCAATTTTACTCACTATGCCCACAGTGAATTAAGGGGAAATAAGTACAAGACTGGATGAGCTACCCAAACCAGTACAAAACTTGAATAACAGATTCAACAGGGATATAAAATCCTGAAAAAGATGTCAGACAAAACTACCTAAAATAAAAAAGTGTATAGAATTCATAAATTGCAGAAATGATCAATGTGGGGGCTGGGGATTTAGCTCAGCAGTACAGCACCTGCCTGGCAAGAGCAACGTCATGAATTCGATTCCTGGTACCGGAAAAAAAAAAAAAAAAAAAAAGAGATCAATGTGAAGACAGAGTTTCTGAAACTGAGGACAAAATAGTGAATTATGATGAAGTGCTCAAAAAAGCCACAAAGAAAATAAGAGAACAAGAGATCATCCAGCAGGTACTAATGACAATAAGAAAAACCAATCTCTAATTGGAGTTAGAGGAAAAACTAGAAGATAACACAGATGGATTTACTAACATGTTTATAGAAATCATAGAAGAAAAGTTC